CTGGGAGGTGGGGTAGGGGCGCGGGGGGAGCCGGCGAGGTCGGGCCCTGGAGGCCCCGTGGAGGGTGGTCTGCGCAGGGGAGGTGTCGAGGTCTCCGGCAGTCCCTGGATTTGGCAGGCTGTGACGCAGTTTTCTAATATTTGGTCGCCAGGTGCCTCGGGACCCGCGTCCCTGCAAGGGAGCTCAGGGTCTGAGACCCCGCGTAGCGCCTGGGAGGCCGGACCTTCCCCAGCGATTTAGGGGTTTCCTTTAGGGTCTGGCTCCGGTTGCCGGGTGTGAAGGGGAAAGGCGGTCCTTTGGAATTCTGGGACTTGTAGTCCTAGTCGCGGTTGGATTGGGTGCACGTGGGTAACTGTGGAAACGAGTCCCAGAATGCAGCGCGCGCCTCGGAGCCTCCCTTCTCTGCTAACTCGTGCTTTATTCCCCGCGGACCCGGGAGTGCTCTTGGGAGGCTCTTCTGTCCCCTGGGACTAGACGAGGGTCACTAGACCGTCTCCCTTTGTCAGTGGGAGGGGTAGAACCAAGCAAGTGCAGTGCTTTCACACTTGGGTTCTTGATCCCGGACACTTGGTTATTTTCCCCCTGCATGTGGCGGACTTATTTGTAGAATACATGCTTAGTCTTGAACCATCGCACATAGGTAGTTGGAAAAACATTCCAGATACAGCGCAATATAAAGCAGCGTTTTAGGATGGTTGTGTGTAAACACTAGGTTAAAAGGTATAAAAGGTATACCTTCTATAAATGTGGGGATGCAGTGGAGACAAATGTGACTCTTGTGATGGTTAAATATATTATGTGTTCGTGTTTTTTGGGTTGTTTGGATTGTCCACGGATGAAGAGACTTTTTGAGAAAAGATGAACTTGAATTGAGTGATGGAGGTGGCTTAATGGAATTGAGTGGTCCCATTCATAAAGCCAACATGAAAATGTGAAGATAAATAAAGGCAATGTCTTCAGTTTTCAAAGAAGCTGAAGCAAATAGACTAGTAGAGGAAGGTAAACTCAGTGGAGGACCTTTAGAGGTTTTCATGGTGTGTGTTTTTTGTTGTTTTTTTGCTGTGGCCTGTAATTTTTTTTTACCTGCCTTTATAATATGAGACCATATTAGTCTGTAGACTCCCCAGACATTACATCCTTTGCAGGTTCCCTTTACCATTTATATGCAATGATTTAAAAAATCTGTAATATAGAGCCCCATAAGATTAGCTCAGAGATGATAGGTCATTTTTTTAAAAATATATTTTTTATTGATTTTTTACAGAGAGGAAGGGAGATAGAGAGTTAGAAACATTGATGAGAGAGAAACATCGATCAGCTGCCTCCTGCACATCTCCTACTGGGGATGTGCCGGCAACCCAGGTACATGCCCTTGACTGGAATTGAACCTAGGACCTTTCAGTCCGCAGGCCGGTGCTCTATCCACTGAGCCAAACTGGTTTCGGCAATCATTTTTATGTGATGTATCTTTTTGGTTAATCCTCACCCGAGGATATTTTTTCTATGGATTTCTTTTTAGAGATTGTGGGAGGGAGGGAGGGGGAGAGAGAGAAACTCGTGAGAAGGACACATTGATTGGTAGCCTCCCCCACACATCTGGACCTGAACCCAGTATGTGTCCTTGACCAGGAATCCATTCCACAACCCTAAAAACGGTCCATGGGTCTAAACTCTAATCATTAAGCCACACTGACTAGGCTTATGTGATATTTTTGAAACTATTGGTAACATAGTCACTAGAACAGGGGTGGGCAAACGTTTTGACTCGAGGGCCACAATGGGTTCTTAAACTGGACCGGAGGGCCAGAACAAAGCATGGATGGAGTGTTTGTGTGAACTAATATAAATTCAAAGTAAACATCATTACATAAAAGGGTACAGTCTTTTTTTTCAATAGTTTTATTCATTTCAAACGGGCCGGATCCGTAGTTTGCCCACGGCTGCACTAGAAGAATATTATAATGACCCTAATGATAAAAATTTTACCAAAAAGTCCCAAGATTTGGAAACCTTTTAGTATGGTTACAAATATACGGGACTTGAGTACTTGATTTAATGATGGATCTTTTCATAATGGCTGAAAAATTGGTCAATGTGTGTGTTTTTTGGGAGAAATGATTTGTGTCTTTGTGGTAAAATATCCAGGAAATCCTTTGTGATATGTAAATATGTAATATGGACATGTTTTTTAAAATGTATATTTAATCCTGGAAATAGCTCTCATAAAGGGTAAAGTATAAGGTTGAAAATAATAGTTGTAATTGTCTTCAAGATGGTGTTTTTAAAGACAATATTAGGTTAGTCATTTCCTTCCTCTTTTCTTTTTCTATTACATTCCAAAGGGCACAGGTATTCTTTACACACATACAACCCACCCCCTACCCTAGCCCTCCAAACTCTAGGTTTCTGTACATTAGCAGTTTACACTTTCTGCTCTGGTTTTTAGGTTCCTTGATTTTTGGCCATTTGAGAGGTCCTTTTTATTTTCTTGTGAACTTAGCTATGCATTTAAACAGATGTTTCTTACACTTTACCCAGACTTTTTGGACTCTCTTATATTGGGAAGGATTTTTGGGTTACCTTGTCTATAACATTGCCAAAAAAGGAAGTCTCCCTAATTTTCTCCACTTTAGAGTACTTCTGTACAGTTATGCTTTTCTTCCTCTGTTCCTGCCTTTAAGAAGTGCCCTTAACATGTGATGACATTTTTAAAATGTTATTAATAATTTTCTGTTTTTATCTTAACTGCTCCCAGAAGCTTGTATTAGCTTATTGCTTTCTTCTTGACCATACTAGTAGTATGTTTGGGTTACTCTCATCTCAATAACAATAATATTGTTAACTCAGCAGTTAAAAATCAACCTGTCAGAAATTGACCTTGTGATGACCTCTTTTTCATTTAGGATGCCTTTGGCAAGTAACACAACTCAATTTAAAATGGCTTAAATAATAGAGCTTATTTTCCAGTAGCAAGAAGTCTAGCAATAAGACTTCTTGTCTAGATTCTAAGGCTGGTGCAGCATCTTAATGATAACTTAAGAATCTATATTCTTTGCATCCTTTTCTTCTATATTTAGTATTTTAGCTTATCAAAAGTCTCAGGCTCATTGCCTCATGTTTGCAAAGTGGTTGCTGCAGCACCAGACAGCATGCCTATGTAAGATAGGTAGGGAAGGAGTTTATTTACTTACAACTTCCTCTAAACAGAGAGGAGCCCTCTCCAGAAGGTCACCTTGGAGACTTCTTCAGTTTTATTAATTAGAACGGATTTCATGCCACTGCTACTTGTGAGGGAGGTTGAGAAAGTGAAATCTGGCATTTCCAGCTGTCATGGGATATGGCCTTTGGTAGGGCGGAAAAGAAGGGTGAGGAGAATGCCCTGGGTTGGCCACCTGAAGGTTATATCCCTGAACCAGCTACTTTGTCTAACTGTCCGTGGCTTGCTCTCGGTCTTTTTATCTGTTAATTTATTTTCTGCCTCATTCTAAAATAGTTAGACGTGACCTATGAAATATAGATTAAAATCCTGTTAAAAGAAAATAAACTATAGATTTACAGGCTGCACATGAATGCTTGCCATATCTTAGAAATAGGCCATGTATTTGGCTTTGAGCTTCTTAGTAGGCAAAACAAAGAGGAAAACAAAGCCAATTAATTTTATTCATTTGGGTAATGTAACCACAATTCATTTAATAACAAAGCTAGAAGCTTAGACATTTGTCATTCTGTGTCCCTGGTCAATATTGGAAAAGAGGTTGTATATCTTCCCATGCCTGTTCCCTCTGGTATCTATCTGTTATCATCACCTTAGATCTGATCCATCTTTTCTTATGTTATAACTAGAGGCCTGGTGCATGAGATTCATGTATGCGGGTGTGGGGGAGTCCCTCAGCCCGGCCTGTGCCCTCTCAGTCTGGGAGCCCTTGAGGTATGTCTGCTTGACAGCTTAGGCCCGGTCAATCGGACATCCTTAGCGCTGCGGAGGTGGGAGAGGCTCCCACCACTGCCACTGTGCTTGCCAGCTGTGAGCCCAGCTTCTGGCTGAGTGGCGCTTCCCCTGTGGGAGCATACTGACCACCA